GGGGGATGGTCACGCCGCAATCCCTTCTCCTCCATTCTCCTCTCGGGATCTTGGGCACGCACGCACACGTGCCCGGCGTGAGTTTTAAGCCACCGGGTCCGGGACATGAACCGCGGTCGACTACGTGGGAGTCCAGCGACATAGCCATTACGCTACCTGCTGGTTCCCTCCTGGCTTTAAGTTTTAAGCAATTTTCTCAGCATTTTAAAAAATTTTGATCTATTAAAACTAGATCTGTTTTTCTTGAAATTAAAAAATGCATTAAAAATACCTATTAATACCTATTTAATGGCTGCAGCAAGCTATATAACCCAGCGAGGTGCTTCTTTATAGTATGCTCACTTCACTCACTGAGATTTATGCCTAAAGTCAATCATGTATTCATAGACGTATATATCAGCTGTGCTTGCTCTTGAAAGTTTTTAATTTAATTAAGATCTTTAGTGAATCAATAAAATGTGAAAAAAAATGCAGGAAAAGCAACTGTACATACCAGAGACAGTGTGGGATAATGGGGGAATTGGCAGAGGGTGAGAGGTAGGGAATCAAGGGGGCAAAAAAAGCGAAATATGTAAGAAACGAGAAATAGAAAATTATTTGTTGATGATAACATGTATGGTAATATTCTTGAATGACCCAATATACAATGTATTTTGGATGGAAAAAAATCTTATTTTGTATACTGTATTGATGCACAATGAATGACTGTAAATAAATAAATAAATAAACAAACCCAAATTTGGATGGGCCAAAGAATTGTCATCTTGGTACTTGATAGCAGTAGGGATGCTGCCAGGGTCTATTTTTTTTCAGTGCTGGCTGGGTCAGCAACTACTGATGCTGGTCCGGATGCTGAAGCTGCATGTTTCACTAGGTTCCACTGTCTTTTTCATTTCTTTACTTAATCTGAATGCTGAACAAAAGAATCTCTTCCAATAGCTTCAATACTTTTTTCACTTGTTCAACCAGAGTGGCTTGTTCTTCCTCTTTTCTTCTCTTTTTTCCCCTCCTTTCTTTCATTGACTTTTAATACTTCATCAACTTTTTTTTTTTTTTTGGAGAGGTTTTTGCCATAGGGCGCGTGCGCTCGCCAGACAGAAAGAGAGAGAGAGACACCCCCCAGGGGGATGGCCACACCACAATCCCTTCTCCTCCATCCTCCTCTCGGGATCTTGGGCACGCACGCACACGCACCCAGTGTGAGTTTTAAGCCACTGGGTCTGGGACGTGAACCGCGATCGACTACATGGGAGTTCAGCAACATAGCCATTACGCTAACTGCTGGTCCCAATACTTCATCGACTTTTGCAACAGCTTCAAGAACCAGTTGTAATCTGGCTTTGGCCTGTTCAGCTGGTGGTAGACGTTCTAGTCCAGCTTTGATGTTTCCTGATTCCCTACATTGATGTTAGTAACTACTGTCCTTGCCTTTACTCTTCTCCTTTTCTCGTCTCTCCTTGTCTCTGCCTTTACACTGTTCTCTATCCTAAGAGCAACTATGGGTTCTCCTGTGGTGTGGATGAAGTCTCAACCTGGACTTTCTATCATAAGAATGTGAATGAGGGATCAGCAGATGGCATAATGGTTACATCACTAGACTCCCACGTAGTCGACCTTGGTTTGAATCCTGGACCCGGCAGCTTAAAGCTCACACTGGGTGTAGGTGCATGTGTGTATGTACCCAAAATCCCAAGAGAAGAATGGAAGAGAAGAGATTGTGGCGTGGCCTTCCTCCTGGCGGGTGATTTCTCACTTTCTGTCTCTCTGACTTTTTCTGTCTCTATAGTGAGTGCTTGCACCCTATAGCAAAAAATCTCTCAAAAAAAGAAGAATGTGAATGAGGCTGGAGATCTCTGGACGAGGTCCTTGACTTTGATCTTGCTTTTCTTCCACCTTTTTATCAGCCGTATGTTCTACTATCTGAAGAGCTGCTTGAAGATGACTACCTGTGGTGTTTCTTTTTTCTTTTGCTTAGGATTTATTCTTCAGTATCTGATGACCAAAGTCTCATTTATGTAAGCTGGGTCTGGTCTGGACCTTTAGTCTCACATCTCTTGTTGAAGTGCAAGCGCTGTGGACCTGAAAATGTTTCTTCAGATCAGGGATGCTGTCAGAGTCCTCTGAACTTGCTTCGGTTTAAGCTCTAACTGACACCTTTCAAAAAGGTGATTTAAAAAAAAATTCATCAGAGAACATATGTGCTTGCTAAAGAAAGGGAGAAAGGCAGAGAGAGAGAGAGAGAGAGAGAGAGAGAGAGGGAGAGACCCTCAATGGGATGTAGTCACACTGCAATCTGTTCTCCATTTCTCTGTCCTGCTGGGATTTTGCGCACACATGAGCCTGGAGTGGTTTTCAAGCTGCTGCAGTGGGGATTCAAACTGTGTGGTCAGCCATATCCCTTAGGAATCCAGTTCTCTTAACCACTAGGCCGTGGGGCCAGATGCCTTGGAAAGGTGATCTTATTGTTGTTGGCAGATACAGTTCTGGGAGTGAGCCCAGCATGCTATTTCTGAGCTCCAAACTCTGAGTAGTTGGAAGATATCAGAGGAGCAGTGACCCTCTGTCTTTCAGGAGGGATAGAGTCTCCCAGGAGCTGTGAAGGCCATGGACAGCTGGCCACCATGGGCTCATCTTGATCACCCACAGCTCTGTCCACCATGGGGGCCTCATCTTCTGGGTGGGCTGAGAACAACCCTGTGAAGACCGAGCAATCCAACAACCCAAGGAAAGATGTGCCCATCATGGGGAAGGTCAGTCTCCTAAATACTGTCCTGACCTGCATTCATGCCAGACTGGGCAAGAGGTCATGGGCAGAAGGAAACCATCTTCTGGAACATTCTGACTCTCTGCAATTCACCCTTCCCAAGCATTTTATATCTTGACTAAAAAAATATCTACAAAGTAAGACCATGTCTTTGAGTGGAGAAAAAAAAAAAAGACCTCCATCTTTCATTCAACTCAAATGCTGAGAATAAAGTAAGTTTCCAAAATATTTTCTAAGTCCATGGAATGGATTCCTTTGTCAAGCAGTTTATGGAAGAGCGATTTAACCTGAGCTAACCAGGTTCTCAAGTTCTCCCCTTAGTCTGTGAAGGGCTTATTTCCCTGTGAATAGGTCACATGAAGAAAGAAGTTTGGGGGCCAGCAGATGGCATAGCAGTTACATTGCTGGACTTTCACATGGCTGACTGCAGTTGAGTCCTGGGCCCTGTGGCTTCAAAATTCACACCAGGCATGTGTGCGTGCATACCCAAGATCCCAGGAGGAGAATGGAGGGAAAGGGATTGTGGCATGGCCATGCCCCCTGCAGGGTGATTTCTTGCTTTCTGTCTCTGTCTCTCTGGGGAGCACATGTGCCCTATAGCCAAAATTGCTAAAACAAAATAAATAAAAAAGAAAGAAAATAAAAAAAGGAACAATTTGACAGGGGCCAGTTGGTAGCATAACAGAATACATTTGGACCCACAGGGGAATGTCACAAAGTAAGACCATGTCTTTGAGTGGAGAAAAAAAAAAAAGACCTCCATCTTTCATTCAACTCAAATGCTGAGAATAAAGTAAGTTTCCAAAATATTTTCTAAGTCCATGGAATGGATTCCTTTGTCAAGCAGTTTATGGAAGAGCGATTTAACCTGAGCTAACCAGGTTCTCAAGTTCTCCCCTTAGTCTGTGAAGGGCTTATTTCCCTGTGAATAGGTCACATGAAGAAAGAAGTTTGGGGGCCAGCAGATGGCATAGCAGTTACATTGCTGGACTTTCACATGGCTGACTGCAGTTGAGTCCTGGGCCCTGTGGCTTCAAAATTCACACCAGGCATGTGTGCGTGCATACCCAAGATCCCAGGAGGAGAATGGAGGGAAAGGGATTGTGGCATGGCCATGCCCCCTGCAGGGTGATTTCTTGCTTTCTGTCTCTGTCTCTCTGGGGAGCACATGTGCCCTATAGCCAAAATTGCTAAAACAAAATAAATAAAAAAGAAAGAAAATAAAAAAAGGAACAATTTGACAGGGGCCAGTTGGTAGCATAACAGAATACATTTGGACCCACAGGGGAATGTCCTGGGTTTGTGTCCCAAGACCTCCCTGTGCATACCAGTGATTCAAGCTGACTGGGGTAGGGGCTGGATAGTGGCAACAAGACCTTGTGGGTGTGTTGTCTCTCTCCCACTCTCTTTCTCTTTCTGATAGAAGAAACAAATGAAAGAAAGAGAAAAAAAGAGAGCGGGAGGGAGAGAGAGAGAGAGCAAGGGAGTGTGGACGTTTCCCAAATGGGTATAACCATGGTCTCTTCCTTGTAAGGGCACCTGTAACCACTGATGGGGAACGATCCACCAGGGTACTCACTGACATTAGAGCGAAATAAAATCTCACATGTTAACATCTCAGATGTCAATCTGAAAAGCAAGTCACTTACATTTGAAGACTTATAAGAAAGACTGGGTGTTTTTGTTTCATCTAAAGATTTTAAAACCTGTGCCTTTTAAATAGGCAAAATAATAATAATATGCATATAGAATAAAAGTCAATGAAAGAAAATGTTAAGGACATTGACATTATCATTAGCAGCAAACATTTCTGAGAACTTTTCATTTTATGTGCAAGAGATTCAAATAACAAAGGAGACTTAAAAGAGGCTGTGGAAAAGTAGAATTAGAGTATGAGTTTATTTTGGTGTAAATTAAACTAATTTTTTTGCCATAGTATATGAAGTCATCAGAAAAAGAGAGAGACAGAGAGAGGGAACATGAGAAATCGTATATTCTCCCCCACGCCCCAGAGATGGCCATGCTGCAATCCCTTCCTCCACTCACCTCTCAGGATTTTGGGCATACATGCACACGTGCCTGGCATGATTTTCAAGCCTCTGGGTCTGGGCCTGGGACTGGAACCTCAGTTAACCATGTGTAAGTCCAGTGCCTTACCATCATGCCACCAGCTGGCCCCTTTGCATGTTTTTCTATAGTACTCATTTTCTTTTTTTTCTCCCTCCCTCTTTCCTATAGTATTCATCTTCCACAAGCTTTTTGAAGACTCCTTGTAGAAGTCATAAAAATATTCACAAAAATTGGAATAAGTTCCATTCTTGTGGCCCAGTGGTTAAGGTGGCCACATACCACATGGCCAATTGCATGGTTCAAATTCCAGCCTTGGTAGCTTGAAAAACATACCAGGTACGTTCATATGCATGCCCCAAATGCTGACAGCATGGAGAAATGGAGGAGAAGGGATTGTGCTATGAGCACATTAAGGGGTGCTTTCTCTCTCTGGCAAACTAAAAAAAAAAAAAAAAAAAAAAAAAAAATTAAAAAATCAAAAAATATGTGAAGAGAAACTATGGATGGTGACAAAAAAGAATAAGATTATGAAAAATGCTTTAGAAGCTCTCAGTTTTTTTTTAAATGATAAAAACTGGCCAAAGGAATATTCTTTATCTTTTTATTTATGTGTGATTTCCATGGTGGGAGTGGTTGGGTAGGGAAGATGAAGCTCATTACTAGAAAAGAAACTTATAGTTTAGGACAATGAAAGTCCTGGGTGGGAAAAGATAGTTCTTAGAGGGCCTGGCTGGACATAGGTGTTGTGACATTTTATGGCAGCTCATTAGTGGACAGTCCCTGCATGTGAACTTCTCTAGCCCCCCCCTTCACACTCAAGGAGGAAAGGGTGGGGGTTGACACTGAGGGGCTGAGACCAGGCCTCCGGAACAGCTATCCTCCTCTGCATAGGACTGTACTTCCTGGAGGTGGGAGCTGCAGAGGGGGACCCCTGATGGCTTCTGGCACCATTGGCTCCTGAACATGTGGGACAGCTCCAACCCTCCTTCCAGCAGATGGTTTTTGTCTCTGAAGAACCACACATGTTGGACTTGGGAGGACCATCATTGCTCTCTAGGGTTTTTGTTGGTTTGTTTTGCCAGAGAGTGTCTACACTTGGAAGAGACAGGCAGAGAGAGGCAGAGAGGGGCAGAGAGAGGCAGAGAGAGATGAAGAAGAAGAAATAGAAGCGCTACTAATGGGCATGGCCATGCCATAATCCCTTCTCCATTTCCATATCCTGTCAGAATTCAGGGCATGTGTCCACATGTGCCCAGCAAGGTTTTTAAGCCACAGGGGCCAAGATTAGAATTCTGTAGTTGGTCATATGGAATCCAGCCCTCTTAACCTCTAGGCTGTGGGTCAGTCCTTCTCTAAGCTTTTGAATGCCCTTTCTAGGTGTTTCTTAAACACTGGGCGGAAGGAGGCCAGAGGTGAATGGTGTGATGACAGGCCCCTGGCACTCAGCCACCAACTCCTACTGGTCTTACAATCCTGGAATCCCAGAATCACTCATGGGCTCAGGGGGCCTGCTAGTAGTTCTTGGAAGTCTGGTTTCTAACTGCCCATGACTGAGTGGACTTGGACATGACCATCGCCCAGTTCCACCGGCATTCCCTTTCTTCTTTCCTTGGAGAACTGCAATGTCAAGGGAACAGAAGAAGCTCACAGAAGTCCTCACCAACCTTCTAGGATGTGCTTGGCGGTCTGCACACAGCGGAGGGCGGGGGAGGTGAAGACAGAGGTGATACTGACACCACTGTCCAGCAGTGCATTCCCTGGAAAACAGCAGGAAGAAAATGCTGTTATAATTCCATGAGGACAGGCGGCTTACTCCCTGTGGTAGGTGGGGTCCTGAGAGGCCCCTAGATCTCCTCCTCCTGGTGTATACACCCTGCACAACCCTCTTGTGTGTGGGTCTAACTTGTGACTCCAACTGCTCCCATGACTGTTACCATACGTGGCACCAAGGTGATAATCCCAGGTGGGCCTGACCTAGTCAAATGAGCCTATCCAAAACAGAGATTTTCTCCCTCCACTCACAGAGAGGAAGTCAGAGAGATTTTAAATGAGAGGGATTCAGCATGTGAGAAATTCTCTGTTGCTGGCTCCAATGATGGAGGGTACCACATGGCAGGGAATGTGGGTGACCTCTGGAGGCTGAGGATGGCCCTTGATGACAGTCAGCAAAGAAAAGACCTCAGTCTTATTGCTGCAAGGAGCTGGGCTCTGCTAATAGCCTGATGAGCCTGGAAGGGGACTGGAGTTCCAGGCGGGACTCAGCTGAGACCTTGACCTCAGGTGAGACGCTGAGCTGAGAAGCAGCCTGCTGAGCCTGGGTTTCTGACTTACTGGGTGGCACACTAACAGATGGGTGCTGCTTGCCATCTGCAGTCCTTTGTTCCACAGTGATGAAAAGCTCAAGACCAGCAGAGGCTCACAAACATTTCCTCTCGTGAGAGCAGAGATCCAGCTCTTTGGGAAAGAAGGGTCTCTACTGTACTGAAGACCCAGCACCAAGGCCAGTGAGGTTTCAGTACAGGCTATTATGGATTGAATTTCTCCCACCCCAAAAAGACATGTGGGAGTCCTCACTCCGGAGGGAACCTCAGAACATCACTTGACTTGGAAATGGGGTCTTTACAGAGTAATCAAGTAAGATAAGAGTGGGCTGTTACTCAATGTGCTTGGTATCCTTATAAAAGAGGAAATATGAGCCCAGAGATGCACAAAGGAAAAAGATGACATGAGAACAGAGGAGAAGGTGAATCTATAGGCCAAGGCAAGAGCCCATGACAGCCTCCAAATCTGGGACTGCCTCGATTTGGGACTCCCAGAGTCTGGATCTGTGGGATGATAAATGGCTGTGGTTGAAACTGCCCTGTCTGTGGTGCTTGGTTACGGCAGCAAGGCCATGAACACACAGGGCGCCAACTGCCCACACAGACACCTGTTCTCAGATCCTCCCCAGTACGCACACCGAGAGATGTGTAGGCACCTAGGTGAGGGTTTGGGCAGGAGGCACGGAGTGCAAAGGTATGTCACAGAGGGGGCATGCACGTCACAGAGGGGGCACGCACACCACACACACGCACAGACCACAGAGCCCGCAGCAGAAGGGGCCTACAGGGCGAGTGCAGTGGCTCTCTGACTCTCGGGAGAGCTGACTTATTTCTTCCCGCCTCTGCCTCAGTGACCTCACACTGGGAGCCTGGCATCGGCAGTGGTGCAAGTGCAGCATTTTCAGCACTGAAATCAGCAACTGCCACCATCAGGGCTTCCCTGCCCTGCCTGGAGGGCCGTGGTGAGTGCTGATGAGCACACCCCTGGGTGCGGCACAGGAGAGCCTGTTCTAGGGAGTCCTTCCTGCTGACCAGCCATGGGCACAGGACGTCCATTCAGCTCTAGACTGGACTTTCTGAGTTCATAAAATGAAGACCAGATGAACTCAATCGTCTCATCTGTTCCAAGAATTCAGTCACGTGGGACCAGAATCCTGAGACTTAAAACCAAAGCCCAAATATTGAGATAAAAATCAATGAGGGAATATGGATTTTATTTATTTTATTTTATTTTTTTATAGGGTGTGTGTGCTTTTCAGAGACACAGAGAGAGGGAAAGTGAGAAATCACTCCCAGGGGGAATGGCCACACCTCAATCCCTGCTCTTCCATTCTCCTCGCAGGAGTTTTTGGGCATGCATGCACTTGTACCCAGCATGTTTTTCAGGTTGTCGGGTCTGGGACGCAAACTGTGGAGTCAGTCACATGAGATCTAGCACCTTAACTACCATGCCACTTGCTGGCTTGGGTTTTAATGTTTTAAAATAGCACCCTGGGACACCCAGCGATTGTTGATTTCCCCCCTCTCTTGTTCTTTCCATGCCTATTGGTCATTCCTCCTGACTGCTCCAGTATCTGTCCCTAGATCAAACCTCTGCATTTTCCTTTACTGATTGTGTGACTTCGGGTGAGTTACTTAACCTCTTTGTGCCTCAGCTTCGTCAGCAGCAGAATATGGAGAACACCAGTACTAGACACTGAGGGGCACACAGTAAGGATTGAACCCACTATCGCTGCTGCTGCTGTTACCCCTCCTCCCCCACTAGATGGAGCTCGAATGTACCTGTGATTCTGGACTGGAAAATTCCACATGATGACAATGGCGGATCGTTCTCAAAGTCTTTGATTCCACTGCTGCGTCGGGGCAGACTGCAAGGGAAGTTCAGGTCTGGCCTGTAGTACTTTCCTACAGCACAAATAAGCCTCGGATGGTTATCGTGTTAGTTTTTGTCCCGTAAAACTCCCAAGCAAAGGTCCACACTGCCAGCAAAACTCCTGTTTAAATGATCGTCAACCATGGTGTTTCTCGAACATGGTCCACGATGTGGATTCCACTCAAGGAGAAAGTGCTGCTCTGCTTGCGGGCCACATTTCCTCAAATACACAGAATGCAGGCTTCAGCCTCAGGAACCACGAGGGCCTCCTGTCCTCTCCTAACCACCCATACAACTTCCCTGGTAAAGGATCATGACCAGTTTAAGGTAACTTATTGAAAACCTCAGGTTAGGAACTAAGTTTGTGAAGCTGGATCTATTCCTAGCTTTAAGTGTATTGTGGCACCCATGGGGACAGGATGCCTGTGGCTGAACATGCCCTGCATTACGTGACAATCAGTCCTGGAAGGACAGGCTAGAAACTAGGCGGATTTTCTGGGACTTACCGCTTTCCAAGGCTGCATAGTGCCCTGGTTCACTTTGCTCTGACCTTGAGCTCTGAGATCTGACAATCTGGGTGCAAATCCTGGCACCACCAGCTCCTAGCTCCAAGCTCCTAGCTCAGAGACTAGAAACAAGTGACTTGATCTCTCCTTCAGTTAAAAGGGCAAAACAATAGCAATGCTCTGAAGAGTCAGTAAGATGACACTCAGAGCCTCTTGACAGCTGTGAGACGTGGTCACCATTGTCAAGAGCACTCATGAGCAAACCAATCGAGATCCTTACTGAGGACCTTGCACCACTCCAAGCCTTGGCTGGCCATCACATCAGTGATATTATTATTTTTTTGAGAGTTTTTTTGCTATAGGGCATGTGCACTCACCAGAAAGACAAAGATGGACAGAAAGACAGAAAGCGAGAAATCACCCCTCCCCCAGGGGATATGGTCATGTTACAATCCCTTCTCCTCCATTCTCCTCCTGGGATCTTGGGCACACATGCTCACACACCCAGTGTGAGTTTAAGCCACCGGGTCCGGGACTCAAACTGCAGTCAACTACGTGGGAGTCCAGCAAACTAGCTGCCGATCCCCATGATGTGCTATTTCAATCTGTAGTTTCAATGCTTATTTTATTTCAAGAAAGTTTCTTATGATTGTGTGTTTTAAATTCATCCTCATATCAACTTCTTATCTTCTCTTTTATTCCCTAAACCTCTGTATCTCTACTTAACCTTGTTTTATAGAGACAATTCTACTACTAGGTCTCTAAGCTCTGGGAGGTCTGTCCAGTCATGATGTATGCTCAGAATCTTTCTGGCATGTGCTTATCACATGCCAGTAGTTTTCTATATTCATTCTCCCCTTTCTTGGACCTGTTGGCTTTTGTAGGAATCCCAAAGGGCGTGGCTCACTGAGCAGCTTTATCACCATGAATGGGCTTTATCGCCATGTTCAGTACCTTGACCTCCTTGATGCCATGATTTAGAATTGTGACGTCATAGAGTTTTTGTTAGGAGGTGGACATTGAGAAGGACATTGATTATCAGGGCAGTGTGGCTGTGGGTATGTATATTGAAAAGCACTGTTTTTAGTCCTTAATGTTCTGAGGGGAAAAGCTGGGATGAACAAGAGGCACATGCAAGAACATGTCCATCTGTTAAGCAGCAGGAAATGGCCATAGCAGTGAAGGTGGCTTGGAGAGATTCAGCGCTGAGGTTGAGGGATAGGGCAGTGTCAGCGTGCCCTAGCTCTCGACAGGGCTCAGAGGCTTCAGGTCAAGGGGATTTGCTTGAAAGTCCATTCTGTGGATGCCACTAGGGTAAGGAGAACTGCTTGGTAAATACCCCTCTATCGTCCACAAAGGTATGTAGGGTCAGGTCTTATAGACAGAGACACAGATACCTCCTCAGCAGAAGGATGCAGCGTGTGTACCTCTCTCATGCACCATCTGTACATAATTGTTCTTTTTAAAAAAATAGATCAAAATAAAAAAAATATTAAGAGAAATTTACTTAAAACTTAGAGCCAGGAAAAAGGTTAGGATTCAGTTTAAATAGTAGGCAGATGAACCTATCAACAGTTTAAGAGAAGACGAAAATCCTTAAATATGGAAATGAAAGCATCGAAGAAAATCAGTAATGTTTTAGTCTGAAGTAAAAAAAGAATGGACCATTGGGGATTGGGTGCTGGGTAAAGAAATGGTGGAGGACCTTGTTTGCTAGGTCTGTGGTGTTTCCGTGCAGATCCTCTGGACTTGACCTACCATCTGGGGTGGAGCACTGCTGCAGCCATGACTTTCCGAAGACCTGGTCCACTCTCTCCCCGTGGCGCACCACCAGCACGCTCCTCCTCACTATCGTGGCCTGGAGTGGAAACCAAGGAAAAGCAACTTCATTCTCCCATCCACAGAGCTGTGCAATAGCACCTCTTCTGGCCAGCCCGTGGCTGAGTGGGAGACAGCGTCTTCCTTAGTGATCGGTTGCTACAGGTCAACTTGCCAAAGTCGCCACAATGAAATAAGGCTGGGAAGTGCAGGTGGGAACCTCTCCAGTTCTCTCAGCTTGTCCCTGGGTGTTACAACATCATAAAGGAACTGAAGAGATGGGGTTGGCCCTCACCATGATACATCAACTGTCTTGCTTCTCTGTCTCTTCCAAGTCCTAGCCTTCCATGGCGTGTGATCTGAGGACATGATCTCTATCTGTGTTATGATACATGTATTACATGTAACACATGTGGAGACGGAGGCCCTCTGGGGCTCTCCTCTGCTTTAGGCAGCCCCAGAATGACCTTGGGCTTCATGGTCTCAGAGTACCTGCCCACAGCAGTGAAGACTGAAAGACAAATCTTAGGGAGCTCATGCTTTGGTGAAGTAATCTCGGGGTCACACTTCAGGCAGTAATACGCCATCTTCCAGGAGGGACCCCCACGTGTGGGTGGTATGGAGTCCTGTCCTTAGGAGAGATGGGGCTCCTCCCTGTGGGATGAAGGAGTTGGCCCTGAAGGAAATCCACTGTGAATGAGACGGAGAGGGGAAGCGAGAGCTGAGAATGGCTCTGTGGTCATGGGGGCCACCAGGACAGCTCTGTGGAGCATGAGCCCTCCTCTGGGGGCTCCCAAAATAACTGGGACCCTTGAGGGAGGTGTCGAGGCTCAGATGTACTCTGAAGGGCACTCTTAGTCCAGTTGACAACCATCCCACCCTTGAATCCCAGAGAGATGCTGCCCAGTGCCAGGCCAGGCTGTCTGGGGGCTCCATTTCAGGTCAGGACCAGAGTCCTGGATCAACACAGACTCAGCAGTGCCTCCTATGGGCTCCTGGGACTTGTGCCCTCAGTGTCCCCTTGACATGGCATTCAGGGGAAGCATGTCAAATGGTGGAACACAGAACTGCAGTCTACAGTCCCCCTGTCCCCAGAGAGCTACAGATCTCCTTGGGACTGAGGGACAGACATGGAAAAATGAGTCTGGACAGAGGGCAGAATGGAAAGTTCCTGGTAGGAGGTGGGCCGTGGAGGCTTCTGGGAGTGACAGAATCTGGTCATACCTGGAGCAAAGGAGACCTGGGATGGACAGGCTGAGGTCACCAGAGGTGAGTGGGATAAGGAGGACACTGGGCAGGGGCTCAGCCGGCTCTGTCCTTCCCCTGTCCTGTCCTGGCTATGCAGTTCTCTGGGTGTTTTATGTATCTTGCTATGGAGTGGGCTAAGGAAGGGAGGTGACCAGATGAGATCTTTCTCTGTGTAACCCCCATGCATCAGCCCCAGCATGGCTCCCTGATTTTCCTTAAATGTTAGAGAGGAAAATGCAAATTCTTTTAACATCCAGACACCCCTGAGAGAAGCAACTCAGTGTCAACCAAGCCCATGCCACTGACCAGCACTTTGGACCTGCTTCTACAACGTGGTTGAGCCTCGGGGTCTGCACCAGCTGGCTGCTTCCTCCAGTGGACATGACCTATGTGGTGCCCCCTCACATTGTGTGGCAGTGGAGAATTTCTGGAAGGCACTTTTCCACCAGCCTTCTTGGGGACAGCGCCTGCCAGATTCTGCCAGCTCTTCATGAGGCTGCAATCTGGGCCATGCCAGATCCGCATGTGCCTAATGGTCTAGATAGCTCTCACTACATTTGGTTCATGCTTGAACTCGGTATCCATGACCCGATGAAGATGGCTGAAGTCTCCATGCATCCACTTTCCAGGCTGAACTCCAGTGAGACTTCCACCCCAGTTTCCCCGCTCTGTCAGTTTGGGAAAGGGGAGAACCCTGGGACTTTGCCTCACCACTGGGGAAAGCCCTGGGACCCTGCTGTCCTCTCACTCCCCCTGAGGGCAGCCAGCCCAGTCTATGCTGTGTTTCCCATGGCCTGAGTGGGCTAGGGGAGAAGCCCCTTTTGCTGGCTGATAGCTGGCAGGTCTTACTCCCTGGTCAGTGGCTCCTCGGCGTGGAACGTTCTTTTCTCTGACTGAAGACCTGGCTGAAAGGAGCCACATTTCCAGTGTCCAGCATCCTAGGCTCAGCTCCTGATTGGGCTGAACTCAGTGGGGCCTGGAGATAGCTCTTGGGACAAAGGGCTCCTGGGGAGGAGACTAGTCTGTCAGGCTGTTGTGACAAAGCACCGCAGACGGGCCTTCAGCAACAGGCATTTGCTGTCTTGCATTCTGGAGGCTGAAGTCCAAGGTCAAGGTATCAGCAGGGCTGGGTCTTCTCAGGCCCCCTCTTTGGCTTGAAGATGGTACCTACTCATTGTGTCCTCACATGGCCGTCCCTGTGCATGTCTGTGTCCTGATTGTCTCTTCTTGTAAGGACACCAGTGAGGCTGGATTGGGGCCACCATAGTAACCTCATTCTACCTGAGTCATCTCTACAGAGACCTGCAGGGTCCCCCCCAGGCAGCCTGCACTCCTGGCTGTGCCCATGTAAGGGGTATTTCTCGGTGTTGTCATGGAAGATGAGAAGTTGAAGCCTCAGGGGAGGTGATTTTTACAGGGTCCCTGGCTCCTTAGTGAGGGAATCAGGGTGAGAATTTGCTGTGGCCTCTTCCCTGCCCGAATCCTAGCGCCGTGACCAATGCTGCCTTCAGAAGTAGCAGATGGGCCAACAGGGTAGGTGAGTTTGGTTTCCTCTGCCTGATGGACTGACTGGGGCACAGCCCCCCAACAACTGGACACTGTGGGAAAGGCCTCTTGCTAATATGGGTCCGAATCTGTGCCCCAGGGCAGCAGACAAGATAAGTTTATGGAACAAAAGCTCTACCTACATAAGGAGCCATCCTGCCAGGGAGTTAATACATAGTGTGGCTTCACCTCATTTACTCAGAGGCTAAAAGAAATTGCATTACCTGCAAGTCCTGTAGGCTGCTAATACTCCTGGACATTGGTGGTGGACGAAACTCTCCATTCCGTCTGCCGCCGGCTTCACCGTCCCTCCTGGAGTTTAGGTCCATGGCTAGACTGAAGGTGTAAGTCCTGGAGGGAGACACAGAGAAGCAACCATGTTGTTGCCAAAGAAACACAGCATGGGGTCATGTATGTGCTTGAGAAGGCCCATGACAACCTTAGCAGATAAGGTCACCATGAGGACAGACTGAAACCGTACATGCTGAGTGCCGTGACAGAGCAGATCTGAGTAACTCAGTGCTTTATTACTGTTACCACCCTCTGTGATGGTTAACTTTCAGTGTTGACTCGACAAGGCTGCAGTGCTCAGTTATTTAGACAAACAGGATTTTATTTTATTTTTTAATTATTATTTTTAAAACTTTGCTATAGGGCATGTGTGCTTGCTGGAGAGATAGAAGAAGAGAGAGAATATGAAAAAGCACTCCCCAAGGGGATTGGCCATGCTGCAGTCTCTTCTCCATTCTCCTTTGGGACTTTGAGCAGGCACGCACATGCCCTTGGTGTGTTTTTCAACCCCCAGGTCCACAACCATAATTGTACAGTTGGCCATGTGGTATCCAGCCACCTTAACTACAATGCTGGCCTGACAAACATTGTTTTAATGTCACTATGAGGTATTTCTCAGATAAGATTGCATTGATCTCAGTAGACTTTGAGTAAAGTCCACTACTCTCCAGGTATGGGTAGGCTTCATCTCATCAGCTGAAGACCTGAAGAGGAACTTGGACTACAGTTCTCCGAGGAAGAGAGAATTCTGCCTTTAGGTCATCTTTGGACCTTGCCCTAGGTCTTCAACCTGCTGAGCTGCTTTACAAATTTGGGACTTCTCTCTTCCTCACTGCCCTCCTCTTTCTCTTTTTCTCTCCCTCTGTCTTTCCACATCCCACTGGTTCTACTTCTCTGAGGAACCCTGGCTAATCCATCAGCCTCTTAAATGTGCCTCCTGAAATAGTCAGAGGTGTGCAGATGGACAGAGTTGGGATGCAGGAATGAATGAACAGTGAACAGTCACATTCAGGAGCTACAGGACATCATTTTAAATGCTGTAATTTAGGAGGATATGCGCTTAGAGGATGGTTGTAAAAGCAATACCTAAGGAGTTGCAGGTGTCAGCCTCAAACAATAGGCAGAGAGAAGGACTCTCTAAAAGAAGACGATATTTATCAGGGAACGAGCATTTCCATGTGGAATATACTTGCCATAGTATAACTTGGCCATGTTCAGTAGGCAAGGGAAGACAAGTTTTTAAAAGTTAAATGAGGAGGGGTTACTTAAGTTGTTTGGGACAACTATCCTTGGCTACCAAGACGGATGAGTAGGGTTGCATCAGTCTGAGGTTGGACTGGTGGTCTTCAGGCAGATGTCCTTGCAGAAGTAGTTCCCGTGTCTGGTTATAGTGGTCTTTGTGCAAGGCAGGTCCTTGTGACAGTTACTGTTAAACACACTGGCTTGAGAATTGTCCCCTCCATAGCCTTTTCTGGCTCAGTTTAATCAAGGCTTAATACAAGTTGACATGACTGGCTCTGTTTTGATTCTGACAATTTTCATATAGGTAATGAGGAAATTGCTTCTTTTTATTTTTGGAGAGGTTTTTGCTATGGGGTGCATGCGCTTACCAGAAAGACAGAGAGAGACAGAGAGACAGAAAGCGAGAAATCACCCCCCCCCCCGGAGGAACGGCCACACCACAATCCTTTCTCCTCCATTCTCCTCTCGGAATCTTGGGCATGCACGCACATGTGCCTGGCGTGAGTTTAAGCCACTGGGTCTGGGCCTCTAACCACGGTCAACTCTATGGGAGCCCAGTGACATAGCCATTATGCCAACTGCTGGTCCCCAAATTTCTTCTTGTCCAAAGAACTAAGAAAAGTGCCATGGGGTGAACAGGCATTCAAAAGCTCTGGGGACCACTGAGGGGAAAGATCCCAGTGAAGTAGAGTGGTGAGAACTCCAGGCCTGGAACAGGAAGTGGGTGGTTGTGGGGCCCCCACAGTGAGTGTCTGGAAAGGACCAGGTGAGGAGAACAGATGAGAAGCACAGAGCCAAAGGTGATACATTCTCCTGGGAACAGCCGATGACTGATTTTCCCCAGGGGAAAATCACCATGCCACCTGCTGGCCCTATTTCTCTTTTCAAAAAACTGTATTTAGTTCTGGAGGGAGAGAGAAGAGGGAGAGGAAGGGACAGATATCCAGGATCATGAACAGGCCTGGTGTGTTCAGGTCAACCTGGGATCTGAGTTGGGGTCTCCCAATGGATCCCGTATTGCACGGCAGTGTCCTACTGCCCATGCCACCACACTGGACCTCCATTTCTTTCCGTTTTTTCATCACATGTGGATCCCAGGTCCAAGTCTGCTTCTCCAATGTCTAGCCTATGCCACTGACCTATTTGTTTTTTTCCCCTCATGCCAAGGCCTTATTATTGAGTTATAACATATTTTTAACATCTTGTAGAGTAAGTATCACATTATGTTTTAAAATTTTGCTAGAGCGTGCATACACCTGCCAGAGAGAGAGACAGAGACAGAGACAGAGAGGGAAAGCAAGAAAGCACCCCCATCCCCTGTGGGGAATGGGCACACCACAATTTCTTCTTCTCTATTTCTCACTCTTTTTAGAATTTTGGGCATGCACATACACCTGATCTTTTTTCATGCCACCAGGTCCATGACTAGAACCAAGTGATTGGCCATGTGGGATCCAGTTTCCTTAACTACCAGGGCATGGGCTGGCCTCTCCTCTCTTTATTTTTATCTTTCAAAGTTTTCAGCTTTTCTCTCCTGTTTATTCTCCCCAATCATTTGGTAAAGTCATAACAAATGATCCTATTAGGATTTTTCCTGGAATTTTATCAAACTCAGCAATGCCTTTGGGAGGGATCAATATATTCCCATGATTCACTCTCAGCCATGGATGTGGCCTTTCTCTACTTAACTCAGCCCCTTGGTAAACACCTGTATTTCTCTCATAGAGAAAGCCCCCAGGTCCTTCTACAACCAGCAGCAAATTTCCAGGCCTCCACCCTGAGATCTGACTTAAGCCAGGAGCAACTTCATTTCTCGTGTTCTGCCTTTTGCCTGGTGCCCTAAGATCATAGGCCTGGGGCTGTCCATCTCCTGCTTGGTGTGCGGGTTTAGTTCATGAATTTCTTGATCATCTGTGAGTTGTACTTCTCTTCTCATGACCTTGTTGCCTGTCCTGTCTTGATCCATGAGCCCCTGTTGTCAGGGTCAGGGCGAACAGATTTACTTTGTCGATCTATTGCCAGATGTTGTAGATCTGAGGTGTGCATGCGGCTGATCATAGCAGACACGAATATTGCTATTCATATTGGAGCCACCGGCCATTCCCTGTTCAAATGAACATGCTAAGCAGCTGAGGCACAATTCATAGACTCTCATGTTAGCACAGGAAGTGTTGGTTGGTTTCCTCTTTCTGAGGGCAAGGCGGGGACACCCACACCCTGCTCTTGGTGCATGAAGGCCTTGATATCTATAAATGACATCTGTGATGTTTACAGTCAGACAGATGATTGTGTTTTGCTTTTGTTGTTAGCCTTTCATGTCAATTACAACCAAGATGACAATGGGATGCTGGCGATGGGAGAAAGAAGGAAAGAGCTGGGCGTTTAAACATTTTCATTTTTCTCTTTAAGTTCAGAGAACCATTTATTGGTTAACTTGCATCATAGACATATTTAAATTGTCCTGTTCGTAAAGGGGCATAGCTGCAGTCTGTGAGGTTGCATGATAATGTCTCTGTTAGTGAGCTTGGGCTGTGTAACAAGCACCACCAACTGGGCACTTCAACAGCAGAATGCATTCTATCATATTCTGGAGCCCAGAAGTCCCAGGCCAGGGTGTGGCAGGGCTAGTTCTTCCTGAAGCTTCTTCTTGGCTTGTAGATGGCATCTTCTCCCTGTGTCCTCACACGACCATTCTTCTGTGTGTATCTGTGTCCTCCTCTCCTTCTCTTCTTCTTCCTCTTCTTCTTCTTCCTTCTCCTCATTCTCTTCCTCTTCCTCCTTCTCTTTCTTCTCTTCTTTTTCCTCCTCCTCTTCTTCTTCTTCTTCTTCCTTATTTAATTACCAGAGGGTAAGTGCACTCACCAGAGAGACAGACAGACAGGGGAAGGGAGAAAGCACCCCCCAGTGGGCATGGACATGCTGTAATCCTTCTCCTCCATCCCCCCCCCCTTCCTTTTTGGATTTTGGGCATGCATGTAAAAATACTTCATGTGTTTTTTAAGTTACTGGAGCCAGGATTTGAACTGTGTGATTCACTGTGTGAAATCTGGCTCCCTTAACCACCAGGCCACTGATCTCCTCTTCTTATAAGGACACCAGTTATGTTAGATTAGGTCTCACCCTGACGACCTCATTTAAACTTAATTATCTCTACGAAGGCCCTTTCTCCAGATAAGGTCACATTCTAAGCTACTGGGGGTTGGGGCTTCAACATATAAATTATGGTGGGACATATCTCAGCCCATAACAGTGCATTTACTATGTTTGAGCTGCTCGCCGCCAATTTGCTCTGTGGGTTTTTTAAAAAGTCACTTTATGGGACCAGCAGTTGGTGTAATTGTTATGTCACTGGGCTCTCACATAGTCAACCACTGTTTGAGCTCCAGATCCGGCAGCTTAAAGCTCACGCCAGGCATGTGTGCTTGTGTGCCCAAAATCTTGAGAGGAGAATGGAGGAGAAGGGATTGGGGTGTGGCCATCACCACTGAGGGGGTGGGGGGATTTCTCGCTTTCTGTCTGTCTCTCTCTATCAATCACATGTGCCCAACAGCAAAAATCTCTCTTAAAAAAGGGAAAAAGTCCCTTTACGTGGGTGTTCTCAGGGTTGAAGATCTTTTCGTCTGTGCTAGATGATAACAATTTCTCCTAAGCTCTGAAACGTGTGACTTCTCTGCTCTTGGTTCTAGAATCACACTACATCTATTCCCCTGTGGTCCGTGAGCACACTCCATCATGATCACTGTCTAGATCATCTCTGCTCTTCTTCACAGCGATGGGCAGATACTGGAGTGTGATTTTGTGGTAGATTAGGCCAAAGAATCCCAGAACCATTGGCATAAAGACTGGAGTAGTTACACTGGTGGGGGTGATGGGCGTATTAATAAGCATCATAGCTGTAAACACCTACCTGGGAATGTGCACCCCATCTGTGGCTGACAAGGGGCTCCCTGTGGTGTGTTGACGTGACTATTCTCTGTGCTATAATGCCAGCAGTTCTCGCTGTTCAGGGTGTACATGCTGAGTGTGGGTCCTGGGGCTGATGCTTGTAGGAGGTCTTTATCAAATGTCTGAATGACCTCTCTCTGTCCATAAGTCAGCTAGCCTTTGGACGGTGCTTCCTGGCCACAGTTCCCCTACTTATACCTGAGGGGTGTGTGGAGGCAGTCGAAGACCATATTCTATTTAAAGGATTTAAATGTGGTGCAGCAGCAAATCCCAATGCTCTGCAGGGCTGAGAATATGGGAGATTCCAGATACAGGCTCAGAGATCTCTCTGGGTAAAGCAGGTATGTGTGTGCCCGTGATCCAGGGCTGGTTGAGGCTGTATTGACATCCTGTTGGTGCTTTCTCTCTTGGTCATGGAAGAAAGAAAGAAAGAAACTTTTTTTTAAAAAGCCCTTGTTGGGGGTGCTATCTCTCTATCTCTATTTCTCTTTATCTTTCTCATGCAGAAGAAAGAAATAAAAATCTTAAAAATTATTATCAAAGATTTAGATGTTCAATAACTACTTCTAGCAGTTTTAGAAGACTGAGCCAGCACAACTGAGTCTGACAGTGCCTACCATCCACCATTATGGCCCTGGTCGCCCATCACAGTCCATCGGGGTGTCTCCCTGTGAGGGAGTGTTTCCAGTTCCTTCTTCCAAGGAAGGACGAGGTGTTTCTAAAACAGGACCAATCAGGCACTCCATAGCTGCTAGCCCAGTTCTTCTTTTTCTTTTCTGGTTGCAAGTTTTGTTAATATTTATTAATTCCTAAGAAAAACTGGTCTTTAGAAAGGATAGTAGCAGATCCACTAGGTAAAAGTTGGAATGGTTATGTTGGTAACAGGTCCTGAGGCGCTAATCGTCAAGTAAAAGAATGTTAAAACTACAGACTCATCCTCTGCAGAGTCTCCCAGACTCTGGGTAACTTCTGCACAGTTCTAGAAACACCTGCACTTGCGATTGCCTGGTGGTGTCTCTGTGAATGAGCTCTCCCACCCTGGGTATGAAGCAAAGGACCTGAGACTGTGGGAGAGCTCCCAGTCACCCTAATTAATCATATCAGTTAGAGTGTGACCAGAGTCTCTTATTCCGCTATTCCCTAAACTGTTCATTGGACCAAGCGATGGTCTGAGTTGGTAAGAGAGGAAACAACTGCTCCCTTAATCCTATAACAACATCAGGGCTTGCTATCTCCTGGGTCCAAGTTTTCTCAGCTTTGGAGGGTTGCATTCAGTTATCTCTGTGGTCCCTTGTGACACCAACATCCTGTGATGCGGTCACTGAACCCAGGGACATGTCTACATCAGTAAATTGTGCTTCGCCAGATCCTCTGGTGAGCACGTATCTAGGGGCTGTGACTGTTGTGTTGAGGGTATGTCACTATTTTCATCAAGTGTGGGAACGCTCCAAGCCAGCATCTCACAGCCTGCACAGTGTGTGTAATGTCAGCTCTGGTTTTTGCTGTCTTCTCTACCTTTATTTTCCCTTCCACCCAATTTCCTTACATTATTTCCATTGTATTTAAAATTACTGTATTTATATTCTGAATGAGTAATACATTTATGTGATTCACAAATTTTACACTTGTGGAAGATAGATAGAATGTCAGTTCTAGTCTCTGAGCTCCTACTCCCAACCTTCCGTAGGTAACTACTGTTAGAAGTTTCTAGACAGTCTTCCTTCCAGGAAGCTTTAGGCAGACACCTGAATATACACACATACCATGCACATATATGTACAGATAAATATGTGTTACTTCACCCTTTCCACACAAACAGTATCATTGGTCCGTAACTTACTTTTATAATTTGTTAGTATATCTTAGTTTTTAAAAAAATATCAGAACACAAAATACTTTCTCATGATTTAGAGCTGAAAATATTTCACTGTATGGATGCATCATAATTTATTTTACTGAGAAATATTTATCCATAACAGATGTCCAGCACAGATATGAAAATCTATAGATTGAGTTGATCGCTAATGCATCTGTGTTCAATTTAATGACTTCTCCCTTGGAGAAGAAAAACCAAGGGAAACTATGGAGATTTTTAGGGAATTAAGTAAGTGGGTGAAATAGTGAAATAGTTTGAAGGCCTCCGTCCTGGAAATAGAGGGATGGACATGTTAGTGTTCATTCAGATTCTCTTCCCCAGCCACACAGCTCTGGAGGCACCCAGATGCCCTGAACCACAAGATGTTTTTTTTTTTTTTCCTATATCTTTCTCCTCTGTTTCTCCCACTCTCATCATTCAATTGTTCTAACCACCAGTCTTATCATAGCCTTTTTCTGGGAGCTCCACCTCAACTTGCACCCTGTGAGGCAGAACAGCCTTTTCCTCTTCTCACTATGTGTGCACTCTGACCTCTGCACAGTCTTTTCCAGACAGTGTTAAAAGTATCATTTTGGTTTTTCTCGTTGCTTTTGTCAAGTGGGAGAAGAGATGGATAAATTGAAGAAGTAACCATTAAACAAAAAGGAACCGGGACCTGATGATCTCGGGAATCCTTAGCCTCACCAAATGCTAGTGATGCTAATAACGCTAACATTAAGAGATTCTCCAGCTGAGCATGAGGAAGTAAGCCACGAGGAGTCCTACAGCTTCCAGGAACATTTTGCCAACAACCATGAGAGCCCAGGAGAGGACTTTGAGCCTCAGGTGAGACCCTAGCCCTGCCCTACACTTTAATTACAGTCTTGTGAGACCCAAGAAAAGGACTAGCTAAACCATACTCTTGAACCATGAAAACTAGGAGATTTTTTTTTAGCTATAAATCTGTGGTAGTTTGTTCTACAGTAATAGAAGACTAACAATGACCCTTAGGACTTTGCATTTTATACACTGAGCACAAGACTAGGTCAGCCTCGCTAATGACATCTAGTGTAATTTACATATCAGTAATAAGGAAGTAATATTTTATGGTTGTTTGGGGGTGACTATCTCAGAAAAGTAAAATGGTGTCATTCTTATTTTTTGAATGTGACAGCAAAAACCACCAATCAATGCAGATAATGATTGTAGACCCTCAGCGATAATGTCACCAGCATATAAAATGTGATTTCGACAGTAATGGACGCGCGTGAACACTGTGACCACTTATTTTGGCTGACACTCTCAGTGTGTCAGGCAGCGAGGCGGCACTCACCTGTGCTTGACCCAGGTATCCGACTCGCTGACTCGCTCTGTGTAGTTTTCTGGCAGGAAGCCTTGGCAGCCCGTTCGCTGGGAGATCCCAATCACCCAGCCCTCACTGGCCTCCTCCTGCTGAGTGGGGTCCACGAAGATGTAGTCACCGGGACTTAGCATCAGCTCGTCTACATTCTGGGGTTTGTACTGGAAGAGGGCCCTCAGGGTCTAGAAAAGAGTCGGTGGTTTCATACCTCAAGCAAGGATTTGTGTTGGAAGCAACAGCAATTGGAGCCTGTAATGTTGTGCCTTCTGCTCCTGGATCTGCGCATGTGCTCTCTATCTCCAGGACACCACCCACCACCATTGCATTGCTTAACAACACGTAACCTAGGACGTAACAGAATGTGGTGGGAGGTCCTTGGGATAGATTCAGAATAAATGTTGGTATTTATTTATCATCTATTAGCCATTTACTTATTTTATATGCAAGAGATCTTAAAGCATAATTGGATTATTGCACCCATCGTCCTTGGCATGGGTCATTTATAGCTTCTCCTATGGTACAGAATATGGTGGAGTCATTCAGACTCACTCCCTGGGTCCAAAAAGCATCACATACTTTTTCCCCAAACCAATCAGTTTTACAAAGGAAGAAATCCTAGAATGAGGCTTCACTCAAATCATTACTTATAGTATTTGTTTATTTTTTTTTTAATTGCCAGAGAGGGACAGAGAGAGAGGAGAGATAAAGAGAGAGAGAGAGAGAGAGAGAGAGAGAGAGAGCAAGTATCCCTAATGGAGTGGTCATGCCTGCAATCCCTTCTTCATTTCTCCATCCTGTTGGGATTTTAGCACATATACACATGCGCCCACCATGTTTTCAAGTCATTGGTGCCCAGTATGCCAAGGGCCATGTGGGATCCAGCTCCTTAACCATTGCGCTCTGAAGCTGGCCCTTAAGTCATTACTTGAAATGAATTAATAAGCAAAACATGTATTCATATACCTTAACAATAGTCACCTTATAGTACCAGAGAGATTTCCATTTTGTTTTATAATTTCTTTGCATCTGAAACTCATATGTGAAAGAACACTGCTTCTAAGTTGCACTAGAAAAGAGTGGTTTTAGAAAAAAAATGGAAGTCCTCCCTTCTACTAAACAGCTGTACTCCCTGGGTCGAGGGTGCTGCCAGGTGGGTGCCCATTACCACAGTCATTTCTTGTGGAGGGTCTGGAACAGCCGCACTGCCCAGGGTGGGCTGAGTCTCCAGGCCGGCTCGCTCACCTGGTAGTGCACGAAACGCATATCTCGAGAATATAGCGCCGCAGTCCACTGGCAGCTGTGGCCCGGGTGGACAGCTTTGGCCAGCTGCTCCAGCGTCCTCTGGTGGTGGGGGTAGAACTTGTGTGCCAAGGTCAGATGCAGCTGCTTGGTGCAGGGCTTCACGGTACAGTCTGGAAAGTCAAGCAAACTTAATGATGCCAGCGGCAACTCACCTGGACAGGTAGCGTTACACGCCCGAATCTGGGGTGACGCTATATGTGGTGCTTCCTGCCTCTGCCCACTCCCTCCCGTCTCACATCTGGCCCACACTTGGCACCTCAGAGTTCATGCTGTGATGGAGGGAGCTGGACACCTGCAGAGTTCCCAAGGATAGGAAAAAGGAAGGTCTGGAGACGGGTCAGGATTGGGGGGCCTATTGATTTGCAAGCTACTTGCCAGAAATATGCAGAGCGAGCAGATTCTTTGCTCCCGAGGGGTGGTAGGGATGGGGAATGCATCACTCAGTGGCCTGGGGCTCCAGGAAACGCCTTATGCTTCACTTGTGGGATCTCAGGTTTAAACTCCCATAAGCAATAAAACTCCGTAAAACGCACAGCAGCTCTAACGTTTGCCTCACTTTGGTCAAGCAGAAAATCCTTGAGAGTGGCCCAGACTGAGTTTTTTTGTTTCATTTTGTTTGTTTTTAATTTTTGTTATAGGACATGTGACCTTGCCAGAGAAAGACAGAGAGAAGGAGGGAGGAAGAGAGAGAAGGAAAGTGAGAAAGCACCTCCCGGGGGATGGCCACACCATAATCCCTTCTCCACACTCCTCTTGGGATTTTGGGTACCTTTGCACATGCACCCAGTGTATTTTTCCAAGTCAGGGACTTGAACCATTCAGTCAGCCATGTGGGATCCAGCCACCTTAACCACCATGCTAGCTGCTGGCCTACTCAGATTTTTAGGTGACCTCTGCCCTTGTAGCCCCTGCCGCCTCCACCAGCTCCTGGTCTTCCTTGGGGGACTCTCAGGTTATAGAAATGGCCAGGATCTGATTTTAGCTGGGCTACGAATATTCTGTGTTCTGGGGAGCAGCCCAGGTTTGGAATCGGATAGACTTGGCTTATCCCCACTCTGCCTGTCTTAGCAGGGTGCCTTCGGCTGAGCACCTCCACCTGACTCAGCTTCTGTAACTCCAGGACAGCAGGAGCTGCCCACCGGGGCTGTGTCGGGAGACCATTCTCCCCCGTCATTGTCCCCCACCTGTGCTGCTGTTTCTTGGCGAGGAGCAGGACCAGCCACCACCTCAGGACAAGCCCCCTGCAAACAGGCCTGTCTTCTCCCTGGAGCATGTCAGGGAAGATTCCTGGGACCCTAGGTGCTGTCCTGCCACTGCCTTCCATGTCAGAGCTGAGCCGTCGGTGGTGCTGTGGAGCGCCAGGTCCTGAGCAAGCCCCGAGCTGCTGGCCGGGTGGAGCAGCCTGAAGCAGGAGTGTGGAGGTGGTGGGACAATTCCTTTACTGGCACATTTAGTGGTGGGAAGGAAGGTGTGTCACATGAGTCAGCATGGCCTGGGAAAGACCTGCCGCTAATTGTCACAGAGTAACATCACCTGGCATCTGAGGTGACCTCTGTGGCCTCATGGATGTTTCTCTGGAAAGGGCCAATGTGGGCAGGGGCCCTTACACCTGCCCTCACACACTCACACCCAGGACACTCGGAGCTGGTCAAGGGAGGCCCTCCTCAGGGTCAAGGTCAGGAGTGGACATGAGGCCAAGGACACTCTTGAGGAAGTGGGACTGGTCAGAAGGGAACCTGGTGGTGTGGAGCGAGGCAGAGCGGGCCCTAGTTTCACAGCTGACCACTGAGAGCTGTGTGGGTCCTGGGCTCTGGGGATAAATCTCCAGAACCTGAGGGCTTGACACACCGCAGTTTATTTTCTTGCAGTTCTGGACTCGTAAGTCTGATGTCACAGTGTCGGCAGGGCCATGACCCTTGAGGGCTCAAGGGAAGAGCCCTTGCTGGTCTCCCCCTGCTCGAGTGGCCCCTGGTGTCCCTTGGCTGCGTCCACGTCAGTTCGGGCTCTGTGTCTGTGCTCACATGGCTCCCTCTCTGTGTGTCCTCCTCTTTTCTTAGGAGGACACCAGTCCTCGGACTTAGGCTCACTCTGATCCAGTGGGACCTTATCTGCCAAGACCCTGTCTCCAAATGAAGTCACACTCTGAAGTTCACGGTGAGCCTGAATTGTCAGGGGACACTGGCCGGCCCAGCACTGTGATAGGCAGGCACTCTATCCTGTGCAGACTCAGTCTCCCCATTTTAAGACTACGCCCAGAGACTGACCTGGGAGGCAAGCACGGAAAGTCAGTGAGAAGCCTGCTCTGAGACGGGAGGCTGGTAGTTGAATAACGACGAGAACCATGTTGTCCTTTCAGAAGAAAGGACAGTAGCAAGCCATCATTTGATAAGGGAGACTAATCCACAAGGACCCAGTGACTCTATATTACCCAGCAAATATGACCACCAGACTCTCAAGACAGCCCCCAGATGACACCTGGGGTTACAACCTATCTGTGGGACCGGGCTATTTCACATGCGTCTGAGAACAGAGCAGACTGAACTCCTGGGGAGGGGCCGAGGAGTCTCCACAGGGCCCTATGGCCTGGTCAGGTCTCAGAGTCAGCAAATCATGGCACACTGAGCTCTGAGTCCTGGGAACCATGGGGGACGTCCCACAAAGCAAGCGTGGTTGTCACTGGAGGGTGAGAGCCCTTACCATTTCGTAGAGAAAGGAATTACGACTCGGGGAGTTGAAATGACTTGAGTTTGGTCTCACCAGTGTCAGAGACATTGAGAAACTCATGTCTTTTGAGCTGAGTTCAGCATGGTTTCCACTCAGCCCTAGCAGTAGCCAAATAAAGACTGGCTTTCAGAGAAAGAGTATTTTGCTAGTTTAATTTTTTTCTATTTAGTTTTTGCAATAGAGCACATGGATTATCTAGAGACAGAGCAATCACCCCTAGAGGGGATGGCCATGGTGCAATCCCTTCTTCATTCTCCTCTTAGGACTTTGGTCATACGCGCACAGGCACCTGGCGTGATTTCCAAGCCACCAGCTCTGGGACTCGAACCACTTAGTTAGGCATGTGGGATCCATGCCACCTTCTGGCCTGAATTTTGTTCATTTTCGAGGTGGGTCTGGATCATCTTTCCCTGAGAGGCCAAGGAGAGAAGACGAAACTCAGAGCTAGAAAACTGGGATAGATCATGTAGGACTTGCACTGCACCCACAGTAAGGAGGGGTGTCAGAGTGGCTGAGGGGCTGGGGAGCCCCTAGCTCCTGTGTGAACCAACCTAAGGTACGCGTAGGTGCATGCTTGTGCTTTGGACTGCCCTCTGGGACAGATTCCCAGGCAGCAGGCATAAAGCAGGTGCCCTGAGAAACCTCATTGATGTGAAGGCTTAACGACAAGACGACTCTTGGTCCTCAGATGCTACTTGCTTACATTTTGGAGGACACAGTGGCTCACCAGGAGGCCCTCATTAAACTAGTCATCCTCAGGTTAAGGCCACCTCAATGTGACTGGCTGCAAATCGAGAGGCTAGAAATGAAATAAGGAAACAGCAGTATAGCCCAGGAAAAAGCCTCGAGCAGCTATCTGACCTTTGACACTGGCCTCTGCTCTTGGTTATTGACCTCCGGCATCCACATGGATGAGCGCAGCCTAAAGCCCCAGGGCCCCCTTGCTGTTTGCTGGGCTGTAAGTCTGCAGTGGGCTGAGGTGCCTACCTGCTAAGACAGATGCCTCCGTGGCGAACAGCATGGCAAATTCCCGGATGACGTCTGCAGGGCTGTCGTCAATGAAGAAGCCGAGGTAGCTGATGGAAGAATGGAGAACCAGAGGCACAGTTGCAGGGAAGGAGCCCAGGATCCTGTCCCCAGCCCTCTTTAGAGCCTCATACAAACATTCCACCTTCTGGTCTTCACACTAAGGGAAGAGAAACAGGGCATGCATCTTCTAATGACTTGTTACGAAGTCATCTAGTAACTATTAACACTAAAACACAATGTGGCTAGTCCCTGTATGTCTGGGCTGTGGGTTTGTTCTATTCCTGGTGCTCAGATTTCTGGATAATTCAGGTAGAATTCCTTTTGGGATAGAATCTCTTTTCAGTGCCAGGTTGGAAATCCCCTTGTGTCCCCTCCCTCCACATCAGTACACCCTGAACCAGCCTCTCTCTCTCCTCCTGGGGGCCTGTGGCTTTTCTCAGAGCTGCACAATTGGGCTTCTGGAGGTTTCTAGTAGACTCCGTGGCAGCTGCAGGGCAGGCGCTGCTCCGCACCCACAGAGAGGAGTGGGGTTAGCAGGCACTGCTGACTGCCAAACCTCTGGCTGAGAACAGGCTGTGGCTTCCTTCCCCTCTCCTCTGCAGCCTCGAGACTGGCATCCCAGCCCAAGGCTCACCTCTGGCCACTCCTTTCTCCTCTGCTTTTTTCCTTCATAGGCATCTCTCTCAAATAACTCTTGGAGGAACAGATCCAACACAGACTCTGGTCCTGCCCACCCTGCCCCCTAACCCTCTGTACACAGCGCTGCTGGAGCACTCTTCCTGTGCTGCCCCCATCCTGCCACACTCCACCTCATCCTGGCAGGTGCTTTCTCCGCCACCCAGAGATGCCATCTCTGCTGCTCAAACTGACCTCCAAGGCCCTTGGGCTCTGGCCTAGTGCCCTGTGCCTGCCTCATCCATCCCTCACTCCCACTTGGGCCCTCCAGCCAGGGCCAGCTTCTGGGCTTGGTGCTATGTGGCTCTGGGTCCTGGCAGCTTCTTGGGCTTGAAGGCCTTCCTCAACTTCCCTGGCACTCCAGACCACAAGGAAACCTACCAGGAGGTGGGCAGGTCCCTCTTCCTCATTCTCCTTTCTCCTCTAGCAGCCCCATGCCCCCTCACATGCCAGTGCCTCTGTGATGCTGCTCGTTTGACAATTTTTTTTTTTTTGAGAGATTTTCACTGTAGGGCGTGTGTGCTCGCCAGACAGACAGAGAGAGACATAGAGACAGAAAGTGAGAAATCACCCCCCAGGGGGGATGGTCACGCCACAATCCCTTCTCCTCCATTCTCCTCTCGGGATCTTGGGCACACACGCGCCCGGCGTAAGTTTTAAGCCACCGGGTCCGGGACACGAACCGCAGTCGACTACGTGGGAGTCCAGCGACATAGCCATTAAGCTAACTGCTGGTTCCCTCGTTTGACAATTTTGTAAATCAGTGTGCTGGGCCTTGAGGCTTGGAAAAGCTCTACACTTGTGACCAGCCAGCCACCACGCCTGCTCCAGCTGGCCCGTCATGTGTTGGGAATCGCCCGTTCTGATTTAGGCACGTCTGCATCTCTGGGGGATGAAGAGAAGTGAGGCATCCGCCTTCCCTGCACCAGATACAAAAGGCTGTTGGGAGCACCGAGGACAAATGCTCTCTGCCTGGGGAGCTGGGAAGACTCTTTTTTGAAGGAGTTAAGTAAGTTGGGTCCAGAAGGATAACTAGGAGTTGAGCAGATGAAGACGAGTGGGGATGTAAGGGGCCAGCTCATGCGATAATTCTGGACCATTTCATTAAGAGAAATCAGTTGTATCTTATTGTTGTCTAGGTATCAGAAAAATGACTCCAGCTGCTCTGACGAGAGTTCAAGGCCTCATGCGTGGACTCACCGTGAAGAAGTCGCAGAGGGTCACGTGAGGGAAGACCTCGTGAGCTCTGTTCTTTGCACACTGACGCTTGCTCTCTCTCCAGAACTCCTGAAGTTTTTCCAGCAGAGGCCCCGTGGGGCAGAGGAAGAGGGCATACTCCTGGGGGATGGGGTCGTCCAGAGAAGGGTCATTGCAGTGACAATTCAGCCTGCAACAGAGAACAAGCCACCGTCACCTGGTCTCAGGACAATGCACAACAGTGAGGCCACGCAATAGCAATGACAGGGTGCCAGGCAACCGACAGCAGGGCAGTGAGCACAAGCCTGTGCTCAGACCCAGGCAAATCTGGTTCCAAAGCCAAAGGCAGAGGTGAAAAAGTGTCAACACTAAGACTCAAAATCTGGTCTTCACATGAGTTTTGTGGCCCAAGAAGCTTGATGGTGTTGAAAGATTTTGTAAAAGAAAAAGAAAAAATCCATTTGCATTTTATCTCAAACTTCAAATTAATGTAAAAATCAAAACCACAAAAAATTACACAAAATTTTGGTGGTTGTTATATTTCTTTTGATTCAGAAAGCTATATTAAATTAAAAAAAGACACATGTCCACAAATAGTTCATTCTCAATAATAATAAAAACAAAAATGAAAACAACCATGAGGCACCATTTTTCTCCAATGACCAAAGATAGTTTTAAAGAATAAAAGTCAAAAATGAATGAAACCTAAGGATGAATTTAAACAACTTTTATAAAGAGCAATTTGCCAATATGTATCAACAGCTTTAGCCTTTTGAAGCAGGATACTATTTCCAGAAATTTGTCCTGAAGAAAGAGCAAAATGTTTAGGCCAACTGCATGTATAAAGTGTTTATTGTAGGGTTATTTAGAATAAGAAAGGAGGGAAAACTAGATAGAGGCTAGTAAATCTGTTTATCATGTGTTCACCAGAAAGTATGACTTTGAGGAATTTCTAATAACTTGGGGAAGTGCTTGTGACGTAGTATTAACTTCAGAAAGCAGTACACCACCGGCCAGGCCTAGCCCAGGGCTTAAGGGAAGCTAGACACCGTATGGCCAAGCACACAGTCCAACATCCCAGCCTCTGAGGCCTGAAAAACATGCTGTGCGTGTGTGTGTATGTGTCTATGTGTGCGTGTGTGTGTGTGTGTGTGTGTGTGTGCGTGCACGTGTATGCCCAAGACCCCAGCAGGATGGAGAGATGAAGAAGGAGTTGCCGTGTGACCACACCCACATCCCCATTAGCGGGTGCTTTCTCTTTCTCTCTTTCTCTCTTTCTCTCTTTCTCTCTCTTGATGAGACCAGGTGCCCACTGGCAATTAGAACAGTGGCAAACAACAACAACAACAAAAATGAGCTAGAAAACAAAACTGCATACCAGCAGTTGGAAAACCACTGCATAAATACGTTCTTCTTCATTAAAAAAAAAAAAAAAAGTGGGTAGAAAATGAACCCCATTCACGTTCCTTCCCTTTCTTTTTTAGCATTAACTCCAATTGTGAATTTGCTTTGTTTCCTCTCAGGAATTTATGTAACAAATCTATAGCTAGCTCTCCAGGGTGTTTTATATAAATCATAAGCTATTATTCAAATTATGTTGCAACACACATTTTTTACTCAACAATATTTTTTTTCCAATTTATCCAATGCCAAAACATACATGAGGCCAGTCTGTGGTGTGGTGGTTAACGGGGCTCGATTCACATGGTTGACTATGTGGTTGAAGTCCCAGACCCAGCAGCTTGAGAAACAAGCCAAGCATGAGTGTGAGTGCCCAAACTCTCCAAAGAAGGGAGACAGAGGAGGGATTACTGCATGAGCTTTCTCCAGGAGGGGTGCTTTCTCACTTTCCCACTCTCTCTCTTTGTCTCTGTACCCTCTGACAAAACAAAACAAAACAACAAAAAACAAACAAACAAACAAACAAAAACCAAAAAACAAAACACGCGTGGTTAAGTTTGTTAGGGTGAAATTTTAAGGGCTGTGTAATAGTCAAAGGTATGTAACACATGTAAGATTGCATTGATACATTTTCATATCCATGAACGTTTAAATTGCTGGACGTTTAAACTATTTTCTTTCTTTGGAATTCTATACCAGTGTAATCAAGACCTTAGGACTTGTCTTTTTAGGTCCTCTGTGTTTCTCCAGGGGATGTGCTTAGATATGAACGGCTGGCTGCTTGGCTATGCTTGTCTTTGACCTTGAAAGATACGCAGCTTGCCTGTCACAGGGCAGCCAGGAAAGTGGGAGACCACCTTCTCCCACCCTCAGCAATATCTACCTTTTTTGCTCTAAGAATGTTTTTGTTTTTGTTTTTAAGAGATTTTTGCTATAGGGCATGTGTGCTTCCAGGAGAGACAGAGATTGAGAAAAAGAAAGAGAGAAATCATCCCACGGGGGGAAATGGCCATGCTGTAATCCCTTCTCCTCCATTCTCCTCTAGGAATTTTAGGTATGCACACACATGTGCCTGGTCTGTTTTAAGCTGCTGGGTCTGGGACTTGAACACTAGTAAGCCACATGAGAGTCCAGCGCCTCAACCATTATGCCATCTGCTGGCCCCAATAGTTTGCATTTCCCTGATTACTAGTGACATCAGGCCATTCTCAGCTGAGTACAAGGGATCTGCTGTCTCCTCGCTCCTTGGTGGGTCTCAGTCCTATGGGCAGGTGCTGGCCGTGGCCCTCACAGCCATTCACACTTGGTGACTGCCTTTAGAGCAGTCTGGCCCAGAGGGTTCTGAGCACTGACTTTCGTGCCATGGAGGAGTACATTCTGCTGTTGGCCTGGAGTTTTTAAAGGAGGAAGAGTACCCTGGGTATGCAAAGGCCCCCCCTTTAGCAATATCTGCTATCCTGCCATGAGGAGGGCAACTTGGTGGGGTCCATTTTTGTTGTTTCACTTTCCCTGACTAGAGAGTAAGGGGCTTCCCCTCAGGGGCAGAAAGGTGGCAGCACGCATGTCCAGGCTGGCCTGAGGTTTTTCAGGACAGATACCTGGCTTCCTAGAGCAGAAAACTGAGGCCTTAGCTGTGGGCAGCCTGCATTCCTCCAGCTGCATTCCTCCGGCTGGGACAGGCTGGAGCTGCCTGGAGCTCTCACCTGACCTAACCACCTAGTGCTTCTTCAGGTGCAAGGAACCCATGCCTCAGGAAGATTCATGACCACTGTAAATTCTCTTCCCATCAGAGGCACCAGAAAGTATGGGGACCTCTATTTGATATGGCAAAATGGCTCCTCCCCATTTATCCAGTAAATCACTTTTTTGTTTTAGTTTAATAATCAAATTAGATTAAGTAATTTTTTCTTTAATTCCTTAAATTTTATTTACTGTTATTATTATTAATTCATCAGAGAGTGAGAAAAAGAGAGGGAAAGTGAGAAAGCAAGCTGTTAGATCCAGAACTCTAACCATAGTCAGCCATGTGGGAGTCCAGTGCCTTAACCGCCATGCTACCTGCTGGTCCCTAAGTCATGTTTTTAAGTGAAAGACAACTTTGTTCAAAGTTTTCTCTCTGCTTCACTTCTCTTGGGCTGTGTGGGTGATGGGTGGGCATGGAGGTGATGGTGTTCCCCTTTCACAGGGGCCTCTGGCCTCCCCAGCAGTCACTGTGAAGAGCAGATGTCCTCAGAGCACAGCGTGGTCCAACCCAGCCATGCTCAGGTCTGCAGAGCCAGCCCCACTCACCAGTCTGAGGCTTCCTCCACGGTCTTCCTTCCCGTGGCTGCCAGAGCTTTCAGCCTATAGAAAAGCAGACAAAAGTATGCTCAGGGCGTGCCCTTCATTCTTTGAAAACAGGCCAGAGAAACAGGGTATAGCCTCCTACCCACTGGGCCTCCTGGTGTCCCCTGGTAGAAGGCTGGGCTGCTGGTCTCTGTCCTAGGGCAGCTGTCACATGGTTCCTGACAATGCTGGCCTGTCCACTTCGTTGTGCTAAGTTTCCTTCCCTAGGAATCTCCCTCCTGTTCTTGTCTTGGGGACAAGTGCTTTAGACCTGATTTCTCTGCCCGTTCCTGCAATCCATGCCTCCTCCCCAACTCTGTACCAAGCAAAACCTACACGCTGTGGATCCTGGAGCTGGCCGTGACAGGACGTGCCCTGGCTTGGATGTATGCTTTCCTGACACAGGCAGCCCTGCCCCAACATCCCTTAGTGAAATGGCGCTTTTCCTCCTCGACCTGGCTCAAATATGCCTCCTCCTCTGGGAAATGCCCTTCCCAGGCCGCCCAGGCAGCCCAGAAGTCTTGTCCTGGGTTTCCCCTTGAACAAATGCTTATCAGGTTCTTGCCATGCTTTCCTCACACCCACGTGTCTCCCCAGTGAGGCAGCCATATCCCTGAAACTGGGCCGCGGGGTATTCATCACCGGATGTATATACCTCAAATTGAATTTAGCTGAACTGGACCGACCAGAGCAGAATGGAATACGGCTCA